GCCCATCCTGGAGGTGCGGGAGGTCCCTGGTGTGTGTGACAGCCCCATCCCAGCTCTGAGCCCATCCTGGAGGTGCGGGAGGTCCCTGGTGCTGCCCTGCAGGGCTGCAAGGGGTCACTGAGTGTCCCCCGTGTCCTCACTGTCCCTTTCCCCCGCAGCCGCCGTGGATTACCTGGCCAAGAACGTCAGCCTGTCCACGCAGCGCCGCATGAAGCTGGGCGAGCACTCGGCCGTGCTGGGGCTGCTGCCGGTGGAGACGGGCCAGGCCTACTGAGAGCCCCCCACCTTCCACAGGGACCTCTGGAGAGCCGCCCCGGCTTCCAGGGATCCTTCCTGAGCCCTTCCACCCCAGCTGCCGAGGAGATGGGAGAGAACCCGGCTCCTCCAGAGCGTTCCGGAGGCGAGTCCGGCCTCCGGGGCCTGGCTCCTCCTGTGGCCAGAGACAACGGGCTGGGTGCATTTATCAACCCTGGTCCAGCCCTGCCTCCAAACCCCCTGGCCACGGGTTCCCCACGCTCCAGGACTTGCCATTCCCTAGGTAGCTGGCGTAGTCAAAGCCAAATTGAGAGCTTTGGTGTTTTTTTTTTCTTTGTAAAGGGAGAAAAAAAAGTTTCATTTTGTTTCCTTTTCTTTCCGTTGCTGTAAATTTGGTGAATGTTGTATAGGAAGGAATAACCCAGCTGAGCATTAAGGGTGATGTAAATTGGGACCACGGAAGACCTATGGACCAAATATAAGGACTTGTTTAAAAAAACAAACAAACAAACTGCAAAGACAAATGAAAGCAGAAAAACATTTATTCAAGGGACAGCAAATTCCCCCAGGCCAGCCTACCCTCCCTCCTCACTGGTGGCTTCCCAAAGCAGGGCTGGACGGGCCAGGTCGCTGCTAAGCAGGGCTGGGGTGGAATTCCAGCCAGCCTGGGATCTTCGGAAAACAGAAACGGCTGCAGGAGGAGTGAAGGGCACGGGTGACACTCTGCTCCTCTGAGGGACAATCCAGACCCAAGTGTCACCTCCAGGCCACGGCAGCAGGGCGGCGGCAGCGGGGACAGCGCTGGCCTGGCACGAGGAGGGGCTGCGGACACACCCTGGGGACACGGGGCAGGGCTCCTGGTGGCCCTGCTGTCCCTGAGCTGGCCACGGGAGCAAAGAGCAGAGGGCAGGGCCAGGAGCTCATGAGCAGAGCCGGGTTCAGCCACGGGAGTCGCCTGGAAGGGAGCGGAGCGGGGCCTGGAGGTGCTGCCCTGCCCAGGACGTGGAGCCAGGACAGAGCACTGCGGGGTTTCTGCAGCGGCCAGGATGGGAAGGTGCTCCCAGCTGCACCTCTCCTCTCTGCAGGGGTGGGATTCACTTTCCCGAGGCATTCCCTGTGCTTTGCTCCATCCATCATCCATCCATCCATCCATCCATGCCCCCATCCATCCATCCATCCATCATCCATCCATCCATCCATCATCCATCATCCATCCATCCATCCATCCATCCATCCATCCATCCATCATCCATCCATCCATC